GATCCCGGAGACCCGGGATCGAGTCCCACATCCAGCTTCCTGCATGGAGCTGCTTCTCCCTCTGCCTGTGTCTCTGCCTCTCTCTCTCTCTCATGAATGAATAAATAAAATCTTAAAAAAAAAGAGAGAGAGAGTGTGTGTGAATGGGGGTGGGGTAGAGGGAGAGAGAATTTCAAGCAGACTCCCTCCCTACTGAGCATGGAGCCGGAGGTGCTGGACTCGATCTCATGATGCTGAGATAATGACCTCAAATGAGCTAAAAGCAAGAGTCGAATGCTTAACCAACTGAGCCTCCTAGGCACCTCAAGGATACCAGATTTCATCTTAAAATCTTAATTACGCCTGCAGAGACCCTATTTCCAAATAAGGTCACATTCTAAGATTTCAGGTGGACGTGAATTTTGGAGGGATACTATATTCAACCCACTACTAGTATTCTTTACTGTTAAGTTTCTGTGGGTTTTTTTAAAAATGAAATTTGAAACTTCTTGTTCGTCATTAACCTCCTACTTATCTTGCCTGAGTAAAAGCCAAACAAACTTTAAAATGGAGACCTATAATATTTATGTTTGTTCTTAATTATATTTTTGGTAAATGTTTTCATTCCACCCTATCTTCCTCTGTCACCCTGTGAGCTCCTTTGAGCTGATTGGTGTCTTTAGGAAAGCCAAGCCAGTTGGGGTGTACAGAAGGGATATTGTAGGCACCGTAGGGACAGAGCTTCTATTGAAATCTTATTCTGTTTTTTTTTTTTTTTTTAAGATTTTATTTAGTGATGCCTGGGTGGCTCAGAGGTTGAGCATCAGCCTTTGGCCCCGGGCGTGATCTTGGAGTCCCTGGATCAAGTCTCACATCGGGCTCCCTGCATGGAGCCTGCTTCTCTCTCTGCCTATGTCTTTGCCTCTCTCTCTGTGTCTTTCATGAATAAATAAAATCTTTAAAAAAAATAAAAATTTTATTTATTCATGAGAGACATACAGAGAGAGGCAGAGACATAGGCAGAGGGAGAAGCAGGCTCCCCATGGGGAGCCCGATGCAGGACTTGATCCCAGGACCTGGGGATCATGACCTGAGTCCAAGGCAGGTACTCAACCACTGACCCACCCAGGCGTACATAGAAACCCCATTCTAACTCCAAACCAAATATATATATACATATATAAATATAGGGATCCCTGGGTGGCGCAGCGGTTTGGCGCCTGTCTTTGGCCCAGGGCGCGATCCTGGAGACCCGGAATTGAATCCCACGTCGGGCTCCTGGTGCATGGAACCTGCTTCTCCCTCTGCCTGTGTCTCTGCCCCCCCCCCCTCTGTGTGACTATCATAAATAAATAAAATAAAAAAAATATAAATACATATATACACACACACAAATCAATGTTTATGTAGGAAAGTTCTGGTCGCTTTTATGATTAGAGTAAATAAATTTGATTATTATAAACTATGTAAAATGTACCTAGGTCCACAAGTATTAGGAAGGACAGTTTTTCATGGGGATACCTAGCTGGCTTAGTCAGTAGAGCATGTGACTCTTGGTCTCGGGGTCATGCATTTGAGCTCCAAGTCGGGCATACATATTACTGAAAAAACAATAATAAAACAGCTCTTCTTTGAAAACATTAGCAGTTGTTCACTCTGTTTTGTTACTTATGCTTTTAATGAATTTATTCTTCTACAGCTTGAAGAAGGAGGAAATTGTCAGTGTTGTGTATTAACATTGATGAGCAGAATAAAAAATAGTTTTCAGGTGCCACATTTGTAGAGGGACGTTGAGCAGAAGAATATTAGGGTTGTTACAACTGGAAAATGTGCTATAAGAAATGATTAAAGTATTGATCATGCTGGCCTGAAAAGAAAAAAACTGAATAGAATTGTAGATGTAAAAGATTTGAAGGACTATGTGTGGAGGAGGTATTAGGTTTATTTCACATAACTCCAGGAGGCAGAACCAGGACTAATTGGTGGAAATGCTAGGTTTGTGTCATCTCATTAAAAGGAAGAACTTTCTGGGCAACGGGATAGCTCAGTTGCTTAAGGGTCTGACTTTTGATCTCACCTTTATATCTTGGTCTCAGGGTCGTGAGTTCAAACCTCACAAGAACTTTTTTTTTTTTTTTTGAGGAAGAACTTTCTAAAAGAGCAATTCCAATCTAATATGTGAAGTCGTGAGTTTTTTTTTAAGATTAAAATTGAAATTAAATATTTTCTGTTTAGATAGAAATTATGTAAGTGACAGTATAGATTAAGTCAGCTATTAGGAACCCTTTCAATATTATGTGAGTTACTTGAAAAAAGTGGAGAGACTGTTTAATTTTGTTCCCATACCATCTCATTTTCATGTTGAAATCATATGCTTGTAAATTATGTTTTCTACCCTAAAAATGTTTTTATGTAGAATATTTTTCTTGCTTCACTGAAATTTGTAGATAATTCTGAGTAAAGAGGAAAGAGCAAATAGTTAAAGAATTCAGCATCTTTTAACAAGTGAATCCTTAAGATAGATTTTTTTAGAAAGTAGAGAACCAGACTGGGGCTCCTGGGTGGCTTAGTGGTTGAGCGGTTTGCCTTTGGCTCAGGTTATGGGTGGCTGAGTTGTGGCTCAGGATGGGATTGAGTCCCGCAGGAGCCTGCTTTTCCCTCTGGCTATGTCTCTGCTGCTCTCTCTGTGTCTCTCATGAATAAATAAATAAAAAAATCTTAAAAAGAAAATTCAAAATTAAAAAAGAACCAGGCTGTTCTGTAACTCTTAGCTCATTCAGTCAAAACTCACTAAGTACTTTCTGATTTGATATTGTCACTTAATTAGATTTTTGATATAGCATTGCCTTTTAAAAGCATTTTATTAGTCTTTTTGATTAGAGGACTCTGACATCTTTAATGGTGTAAATTGGAATAAGACTACTGTCATCACTCAGTCATAAGTCAGTAGAAATACCCATTACAGAGTGAAACAGAAAGCAGATTAAAAAAGATTTTCAGTAATTTTTGTAAAAAGCTTTTAACACAGCAATATAATAATTTCATATATCACCAGATGCTGATTTGAAAGTGGAAAATGAGGAGTGTCTGGCTGGCTCAGTGGGAAGTACATGCAACTCTTGATCTCAGGGTTGTGAGTTTGAGCCCCACATTGGAGATAGAGATTACTTAAATAAATAAAACTTTGAAAAAAAGAGCAAAGTGAGATAAGATTAATTCATCTTTTTTTTTTTAAGTCTTTATTTGAGAGAGTGAGTGAGAGAGAGAACACTTGAGCAGGAGCAGAGGGAGAGGGAGAAGTAGGCTTCCCTGCAGAGCAGGGAGTCTTATGTGGGGCTCCAGGACTCTGGGATCATGACCTGAGCCAAAGGCAGATGTTTAACCAACTGAGCCACCCAGGAGCTCCAACATTTGTTATTATTTTTTTCCTTTTTGATAATTTTGATAAGCTTAACCATGATTTAACATGTCACTCCTTTCTTCAGAATTACTGAAAGACTCATTCCTGGATTTCTGCTCAGTTTTTATTTACTACCATATTTAGTAACAATAATATTTTATATTTATTCATTACCAGCAATGTGTCTAGGTGCTATAATCTATGCTTTGTTTATTTTAAAGATTTTATTTATCTATTAGAGAGTGAGCACGAGTGGGGTGAGGGTAGAGGGAGAAACAGACTCCCCACTGAGCAGGGAACCGAAGTGGGGCTCCATCCCGGGACTCCAAGATCATGACCTGAGCCAAAAGCAGATGCTTAATTGACTGAGCCAGTATGCTTTATTTTTTTTATCATTATTTATTTATTTTTTTACAATCTGTGCCTTATTATATTGCCTTTAATTGTTACAGTCACCCTGAAAGAGGTACCATTATCCCCACTTTATCAGCAAGGTTAATAAAATAGCTCAGAGACTCAGAGGGGTTGTGTCTTGTCCACGTTTGTATATCTCATAAATACTAGAGCCCATTTTAAAGCCAGATCTTTCTTAAAGTCCAATTCTTTCAACTCTATGAGTCTGCTTTTGAGTAGGCAGCAAAGTTAGACTCTCATCAGGTACCTCACACATGTTCCTGAATTAGTTGAATTAGTTTTGAACGAGAGAAGAAATATTGTCATACATATTTCTTTTTTTTTTTTAAGATTTTATTTATTTATTCATGAGAGACAGACAGAGGCAGAGACATGGGCAGAGGGAGAAACAGGCTCCATGCAGGGAGCCCAACGTGGACTCTTCTCTCCAGTGTGAATGTTGTCCATAAGAGAGGGAGAGAGAGGAGACATTGTCACTCATTGAGATGGCTTGTTCAAGGACCAGAATTTAGAGCATTTATATCATGTTGATGGAGATGTTCTAAACTGAATTGTAGTGTTAACTTGCTCTGTACCTGCCATATACTGAACATAGTTTAATATTTCTGGTTAAAATTCCGTTCATATGGTTATAGCGATGATCTCAAAGTTGACTAAAGTATAACCAAGACTGTCCTCCACCAAGTACTAACACCCTCTGAATTTTGAGATCCTGTTTCTGTGTGTCATATTTTTAGATACCTTTTTTTTTTTTAAGACTAATTTATTTGAGAGAGAGTCTCTGTGTGTGCTAGTGGGGGGAGAGGCAGGGGAGATGGAGAGACTCCCTCCTGAGCACAGAGCCAGACACGGGGCTGGATCTCACAACCCTGAGATCATGACCTGAGCTGAAATTAAGGATTAGATACTCAACTGATTGAGCCACCCAGGTGCCCCCCTACTCTGTTCCCACTATTAACTCACACATTATTTTATCATAAGCTGCTGTGGGCTAGGAAGCCAAAATAATTAGAGATTGCTTAACTAAAATGTAAGTAACTTGAGTTTGAGTGAGACATGAGGGGATTTCTTGTGAGCAAATATACTGAGCTTTAATGGGTAGGCTTTTTTTTTTTTAACATATTTTAACTCACTGGATAGATGGAAATCGTCATATCGGTGCTGTTATGTCTAACATAGAAAGTGTTTTTGTACTTCTTTTAAACAGAGAAGAAGATACAGAAAATGAAAATGAGAAGAAAATTTGGTACTACAGCACAAAGGTCCAACTTGCAGAATTAATTGACTGTCTAGATAAAGATTACTGGGAAGCAGAACTCTGCAAAATCCTGGAAGAAATGCGTGAAGAAATCCACCGGCACATGGACATAACTGAAGACTTGACCAATAAGGCTCGGGGCAGTAACAAATCCTTTCTGGCGGCAGCTAATGGTGAGAGGGAATTTTCTCAATTTACTTGTTATTAAATTTGAGACAAACTCCTGGTGTGAAACCACTACAAAAGAAAATATTAAAATTTCAAGTTATATATATTTTAATTCTCTGTATTTTTGTTTTCCCAAGGAATCTTGTTCATCCCAGCCTAAATTAGGGGATTCTATGCATTTTAGCATTTTGTCTATTGTCTAGGGCATTACTAATATTCCAGTTTTTTTCTTTAATTCAAGTATCTTATTATTGGTAGTCCTACTTCTAATTATGAGAAACAGTATTCTTTTAAAAGATACTCTTTTTTTTTAAATGAAACTTTTAATTTTAGAATAGTTTTAGTGTTAGAAGTTGCTAAGATAGTATGGAGGGTTCCATATACCCTGCACCAGGTTTCCTAGTATCTTGCATTAGTGTGGTACATTTGTCATAAGTAGTGAACCAGTATTGATATATTATGATACCTTAAGTCTATACTTTATTCAGGTTTCCTTATTTTTACTGATAACCTTTTTCTGTCTCATGATTCCATCGAGGATACCACATTATATTTGTTGTGTCTCTTTAGGTTCCTCTGTCACAATTTCTGACTGTCACAATTTCTCAGACTTTTCATATTTTTGATGACTTTGACAGTGTATTTGTCCTCTCTGGGAACCAGAATCTGAGCTGTGATAGTCAGTTTAGGAGCATCCAACCCAGGTGAATCCCTAGAATGATATCTAATTGTGTCCTTTAACTTGGGATTTTATGAGATGAAAACAGCAGAAACTACTACTGGGTTCTGAAATAGCCAGGAGTATTTTGCATTGTTGTGACAGGGATTTCAGCGTTGCAGCCCGTTCTAATGACTTGATATACCTAACCTCAAAAATAGCATAATCCTTGCAAATTTATTCCTCTGGGTTTTTTTTTTTTTAAGATTTTATTTATTTATTTATTAGAGAGAGAGAGAGAGGGAACATGAGTTGTGGGGGGGGGGAGGGCAGAAGGGGAGAGAGAGAGAGAGAGAGAGAGAGAGAGGCAGACTCCCCGCTGAGCAGGGAGCCCAATGTGGGGCTTGATCCCAGGACCCTGGGATCATGACCTGAGCTGAAGGCAGACGCTTAACCGACTGAGCCACCCTAGTGCCCTTACAGATGGATTTTATTTTATTTTACTTTATTTTACTTTAGAAAGAGAGAAAGAGAATGCAGAGGGAGGATTTTATGCAGGTTCCATGCCCAGAACAGAGCCCAACATGGGGCTCAGTCTCACCACCCTGAAATCATGACCTGAGCCGAAATCAAGAGTTGGATACTCAACCGAGTCACCAAGTGCCTGGTAGTAGCAGTTTTTGTTTTGTTTTGTTTTTTATTTTTATTTTCATTGAATGGCACTAGGAAAATTGGGAGGAACATGCACTAGTGAGGTTAAGGAATGCTAGCACTTGAGGTGCCTAGCTGGTTCAGTCATTAGAGCAGATAACTCTTGATCCTTGGGGGTTGTGCGTTCAAGCCCCACATTGGGCATAAAGACTTCTTGGGGAAAAAAAAGAAAGCTAAAAGAAGTGTTGGCAGTTGAAAATCAAACATAGTGGAGCTATGAAAGTGAGAAATAATATGGCTATAAGAAATAATATGGCTCCAATCAGTAAGTGATTGGAAACTAGATTTTCTAAATAAAAAGTTCTTTAAAAAAAAAGTGAGATACTTCCATTGATAAGTATAGTGTACTTATTAGCAAGGGTAACCATAGCTAAGGTAATTGAAATAAAAGCCATAGGTACAAAGATATGAGGAAATATGTACAAAAGAATCCTGGGATGAGTTGGATGATAAGGAGGACAGAAAGCTGGCACGCCTGGGTGGCTCAGTGGTTGAGTGTCTCTGCCTTTGACTCAGGGTGTGATCCCGGGTCTGAGGATCAAGTCCTGCGTGGGAGTCCCTGCGAGGACCCTCCTTCTCCCTCTGCCTGTGTCTTCTGCCTCTCTCTCTGACTCTCATGGATAAATAAAATCTTAAAAAAAAAAAAAAAGAAGAAGAAGAAATTCCAAATAGCTTGCTTTCTGTCTTTTTTTTTTTTCCAATGATGACTTCACAAGGTTTTTATAATCCTAGGAAACATTCTAGAGATCTACAATTTAAGAAATGCAGGTATAGAAAATTTAAACAAAGGAAATGTAAATAAGGAAATTCAAAAATAAAAAAATACCATGATACGTGGCATTAAAAATTGTTTCTTCTTGTTTACAAACATTGTACTCTAGTTGGTAAATTTATTTCTCATGGGGTGCAGTTTAGCAATTCTGAAATTACTATGTATACTAAGGTTGACCAAATAAATAGATATAATGAGAACCAGACTTCTCTTGTTAGAAGTTATAAAGAAGCAAAGGGGCAATGCTTGAATGAACCACACCAACCACCACACATACAAAGATAGAGAAATAATATTGATGTATATATACACAGATGTTAGTATACATATACATAACGTTTTCTAGCTGTTGGCTGAGAGGGTATAGAAATAGTGAAACCCTAATAGTGACAAGTATACCCAGAGTCCAAATCATGTCTTCTAAGTATCATTCTCCAATAAAGAAAAGAACGAAGACTCTTTACAGAGATGGTAGATTCTAGGATTGGGTCAGGGAAAATCTGAGGTGAGCCTGGGGCATCTCGTAGTGCTAGAAAGTAAGGAAATGCTAAATGAATGAAGGAATGAACAAATGAATGACTGAAGTGTGTTCAAAGAATACAGGCTTCATTTGAAAAACCCCATAGTGGCCAAAGCTGGCACAAATTGGAGCAACAAAATAAAAAATGATAGTATTGGATCAAAACCCAAAGAATGCCATTAATATCTAAGAGTCTGTACTGATATACCTTGTGTTCTACATCATGCTATATTATCACTCTACCCAAATTGAAAGAGGATTAGAGCCCTTAGGGATTTATTGACTGTCAAAATAGTTATGGGACTTCAGAGAGAAATGTTTTTTCTAAATGGGACTTTGTTTCCTCATTTTACAGTGGAATTGTGTGGTAATAGCTTGCCTCTGGTAAGCCTAATAAACAGCTAATTCAAGTCAGATGTGAATTGGGTCATGGATACCTCGGTTTTGACCACTGTACCAAACTGCCTAGACTGTGGGTCTATGCAGCTTATAGTTTTCCTTGTATGATAGAAGAGATGACAGTAATCTCTATCAAATATCAATTTCAAAAGTTAGACTAATATTCTTTTTTCTTTATTTTTTTAATTTTCTTTTTTTTAAAAAAGAAAGTAGTCATAATTGCCATGTATCTTCTAGAAGTGAAGATAAACAAATTGGTTGAGTTCTGTAAGCATTAACATTGTATTGGTAATCTTAATCCTTATTTCATAGTTCTAATGTTTTAACATATTTAATAACTTGTATTGAAACTCTTAAGTGGGTTTGTAGTACTTATATTTTGGGTACATATGGAAACAAAATTTTTTGTTTTTATTATAGAAGAAATTTTGGAATCCATAAGAGCCAAAAAAGGAGACATTGATATTGTTAAAAGCCCAGAAGAAATAGAAAAGGACAAGAATGAGACGGAGAATAATAACTCCAAAGATGTTGAGAAAAGCAGAGAGGAGTTTGAAGACCAGTCCCTTGAAAAAGACAGTGACGACAAAACACCAGATGATGATCCTGAGCAAGGAAAATCTGAGGGTAAAAAAATTACTTGGCTAGAAAGTAATATTTAATTAGTGTTATTTATGAGAACTTCAGTTTTACTTTCAAAATGAAAATGAATCTCTTTATTACTAATATCTATTTAATTTTATATTTCTAAAGAAACCAGGGTATCTTTTCCCCTTGTAATGTATATAATCATTGTAACGATTTTTATGTATTGCTGGATTTGCTATAATATACCCATATCTCTATTTATACTTCCTAATAAGGTGCCAATTCCCTATGAGATTTGCTGGTGAAATATCACTATTTTTATACCAGAATATACACTTTTGTATGTGATATGTTCATTTTTATATTAATTACTTAACCATTCTTAATATTTTAAATATTCTTAAATACTCTTTGGATTACTTACTGCAAAAATATCCCAGGTTCTAATTGCTTCAAAATGGCCATCAGATAAAAAGCAGGTTTTCTTGGTGATCATTTTTTTAGTAGTTGATTGAATATGGCCATTTGTCCTAAAGCAATTTAAAAGGATATCTTTAAAGTTTTGTTGTGCATTTTACTGTAGAGCCAACAGAAGTTGGGGATAAAGGTAACTCTGTGTCAGCAAATCTTGGCGACAACACAACAAATGCTTCTTCAGAAGAAACTAGTCCCTCTGAAGGGAGGAGTCCCGTGGGGTGTCTCTCAGAAACCCACGATAGCAGCAACATGGCAGAGAAGAAGGTGGCATCTGAGCTCCCCCAGGATGTGCCAGGTACAGAGGGCAGTGTATCAATGCCTCTGTAATGGGGGGAGTCCTTCCCTTTTGTAGTAAAAGCTGAATGTCACCTGAAATTTTAAAGTATGTGTTCATTCATGCTGCTTGCTTACATAAGTGCCATCCCTGATTGCTAAATTGTCACCTAACATTTGGAGTTTGACACATGTTCTTGCAGTTAGTGCTTGAAACTCATCATAATCTCTTCATGCTTTTTAAAAGTTCATTTAGCTGGTGTTGACTAATAGACTTATTTGTATAGTTTATCATCAGATCATAGTGGCAAATGTTTTGGTTTTAAGTACTTACATACTAATAGCTCAGTGTTGAATGATTTGACCATTCCAATTCTGTATGTACTAACAAATTAATTTATGTTTGCATGTGCTCGTGTAGTTTTTTTAAACATTTCAAACCATAATGTTATGATAGAAAACCATTGTTACAAAACGTTTTTTGCAAGATACATTTTGACATAAAAATGTAAGTTAAACAATAATTCATATTTTACGTTTTTTAAAATTAAAATTATACTTGAAGTAAGTTATATCACACACACAAAAATGTCATTATGCCTTTTGCTTTTTCTCTTTTAAATGAAAAAGAATTTTTTTTTATTGGAGCTATGTTTATTAAAAAAAGCAAACTAGAAATTTAGATGAGCAAAACAAAATAAACACTGGTAATCCCACCACAAATCAAGAATTGTAGCCAATACTTTGATGGAAATTTTTAACAGTTTTTTTCTCTATATTATAAGAATATCACATATTTTCCAACTTGTGGTACTGTCATTGTTACGTTGTATACTGGGGATTTGATTCAAAGACGTTGGGAAGAAGACAGCATTAGCTAGTAGTTGGAACACTTGATTCTAGATCTGCTTCTGCCATTAGGTTTAAGTCATATTTAATCTTCCTGTTTTATAACTTGAAGGATTTTGATGACCTACAGTTCTCGTGTGACTACTTTCAACTGAGTGCTTATAAACAGTGAACTATTGCTGAAAACACCAGTATGACATTAGATTACATGCAGAGATGTATGTATAGGGTCAAAAAAAAAATCACAATAAGTTCACCATATATTGTACTTATGAGAAATTGGCTATTAAGATGAAAAGTCTGGAAACAGTGTTATCTGGTGAAATAAATAAAGATAAATTTTTGATCCTAGAAAAGAATAGACTTGGTATCAAGAGGAAGCTAGGTTGGAAATAATCTAATGGTCCTCTGAGAGGTTGGCCAGGGAACTCGACTTCTCTTTGAAATGTAGGATATTATGTCAAATAAGTAGAAATCATAGTATAGAGTATTATGAGTGAATATTAACAACTTCCTTAAAAGTAGTAATGTTGATATCTATCTGACCTATCAGAGATAATTTCAGCAAGAGTCCTTTATTGAGTTAGAGATTCAGGGATCTATAATTCAGTATAATTCTATGGTTAGATCTCTGGGTCCTGTCCAATTAAAATATTGCATTATTATGATTTTAACATCTTCATGAGCCAGAATTTGAAAGTAGAGTATTAGACCCCCAAAAAAGGTGAACAAAATTCCATTTTTATTGGAGTTATGATTACATCCTTAGTACGTACTTCTTAAAATGTTTTTTGTGCTTTTAGATTGATTGATGTTTAATGTAAACCTCAGTCTTACTAGTGGGTTTATATAGTGGTTGGTTGTTTGGTTTTTAAACCAAACACAGTAGAATAACAACTATGCACAGATTTTAGCAGACATTTACTTTTTAGGTTATTTATTACCGGTTTATTAATATCTCTGAGATGTTTGTTCTTTTGTTATTAGAATAGTTTAAGGGAGAAACTCTTACCTTTGTATCTGACATACACTTTTAAAGGATCCCAAATGAAATAATATGTATAAAAGACTTAGGGTGGACCTGACACGTTGACTCCTTAGTAAATGTTGGATATTATTGTTCTTGTTGTATTCAGTCCGGTCTTTGAAAGAGTGAGAGAAAGTCTAGCAAATAAAAAATAATAAAGTAGGTGAGTTGTATTATACATTTACTGATTCAATAGTAATTACCATAATACTTGGAAGTGAGATCTTTGTATTTAAGCTTTGTATTCAACTGGTGTTTTTTTTTTAAATTTTTTTTTCAACTGGTTTTTTAAATGTGTAGGTCACGAAAAATTGATTTAGATGAGAACCTGAACAAGAAGTGTTAAGAAAGCTAGAATGGGAGGAAATAGCAATTATTAGTAGCTGTATCAGAGTGGATGGGATTCATTAGCAGGATCAGAATGCCAAATAGCTGAAGATGCTATAAACTCAGAACCTGACCATTTAATAAATCATAATTCTCTTGTTGACTACAAAATGAAATCAAACCTAGAAACCTGATAGTCTCATACTTGTTTCCAAAACAATATGAATAGTATCTTTAAAGACATATATTAAACATACCATGCCAGTTTTTAAAGAGGAGTTTGGTACACTTGAAATAGATCCCTCATTGTAAAACTTAGAACACTAGTGGGGATATATCAGTGACCAAAATAGACAAAATCAAGGTCCTTGAGGACTTTATTTTCTAGTGGGCGGTAGCCAGGCCTAACAGTAGAGCCCTGACCCTCAGAGAAGACTGTAATATGTCTCTGCTTCCTTCTATTTCTGTGTCTTTCTCTCTGCATTCATTTATTCAACAAATATTTATTGAGTATTTAAAATGGTGCCTGGCAGTGTGCTGGGTACTTTGTGGTATCCCTGAACCACTCTCTGTTACCACTCTTGACATTCTGTGGTCACTAGATGAGATATGGTATTAGAGGAACTGGAGAAGGGGTATTATTCTAGGTAGATGAAAAACAATAACTGTGATAGAAGGCTACTCACTGGTTTTCTTTTCTAAACCTTCAGAATATATTTAGACACCTAATTTAATGACTCAAGCTTATCAGTAGAAGACAGATTGGGAAGCATTTGGTATGAACAGATGTTTTTTAGTAAACTTTTTCATTAAAGTATAACATAAAGTCATAGTTATTAAGGAAAAGGTTGGTAGAGCACACCTGTATAACCACATCATGCCCGCTCTTAGCCACCACTGCTCCTACCCCAACAAAAGGCATTTACTATCTTTACTTCTATAACCATCAATTAGGATTGCCTTTAAAAAAGATAATAAATAGTACCATACAGTATGTGCATTTTGATGTCCAGTTTTTCTTACCTGAGCAATATATGAGAGCCATCCAAATGTTGCTTGTGATGGTAATACATTTTGTTTTATTGCAGTATGATATTTTATTATATACGTATATAATAGATTAATTATTAATTAGTCATTTTCTATGTTGATTGGCATTTGAATGGTTTCCAGTTTGGGACTATTGCGAATGATGCTACTATGAATGTTCTTTTACATGTTTTTTTTTTATGCTCCTGTAGGTACATTTCTAGGGATATAAATCTAGTTGTGGACTTCCTGGGTCATTCAATTTGTGTATGCCCATCTTTAACAGATATGTGTAGTTTTCTAGAATGGTTGTACAAGTTTATATTTCATCAGTAGTCTGTAAGAGTTCTAGCTCCTCTGCATTCTTGCTAATAACACTTGGTATCATTGTCATTCAGTTTTTTCTTTTTCTTTTAGCCATTCTGATGGCATTGTAGGGATATCTTATTGTGGTTTGAACTTGTAGTTCCATGGTTACTAAGGATGCTAAGCACTTTTTTGGGTGTGTATGTGTGTCTGTGCATATATTTGTTAAATATATGTATATATAGGAAACTTAGTTACCTTTTTTTGGTAAACTACCTGTCAGTTCCTTTGTGTTCTCTTATGTGGTATCTTTTTTGTTTGTTATTATTTTTAAATATTTATTCATTCATTCATTCATTCATTCAGAGAGAGAGAGAGAGAGGCAGAGACATAGGCAGAGGGAGAAGCAGGTGCCATGCAGGGAGCCTGATGTGGGACTTGGTCCCAGGTCTCTGGGATCACACCCTGGGCTGAAGGCGGCGCTAAACTGCTGAGCCACCCGGGCTGCCCTATTTTCATTCTTATATACTATTGCATCCAGTTTATTAATGTTTTGTTTAGGAGTTTGGATTAATGCGTGAGATTGGCTTGTAATTTTCTTTTTCTAATAATGTCCATGTCAGGCTTTGGTGTTTAGATTATGCGAGCCTCATAAAACAAGTTAGGACAAGTTCCCACTTTTCCTGTTTTCTGCAGAAGTTTCTGTGAGTTATTTATTCTGTGTGTTATTTATTCCTTATATAAAGGCCTCCCCACCCTTCCCAAAGTCACTTGGTCTTGGAATTTTCATTGTGGGAAAGATTAATTTTAGATTTCATTTCTTTGATAGATGGACCCCTTCTTGGCCTTTTGGCTAAGATCAGGTGCATTTCTTTGATGGATAGTGGGCTATTCATATTTTCTGTTTTCTTATGTCAGGTTTAGTAAGTTGCGTTTTTCTAATTACCTATTTCACTTAAATTTTATTGGTGTAATGGCATCGTATCTTTTGGTATCTGCAGGATCTGTAGTGACGTTTTCTTTTTAAATCCAGAAATTGGTTATCTGTTCTCTCTGCATCTTCTTACAAAGCTGTTAACAAGTTTTATCTTTTAAAAAAAATAACTTTTTGCTTCGTTGTTCCTTTTTATTGTATTTTTCTTCTAGTTTATGTTCATGGCTTTGTTTTTTTCTTTTCTTTGCATCTTTGTGGATTTTTTTCCTGTTCCTGTTTTTTTTTTTTAAACTTTAATGAAGTTTAACACATAAGAGGATGTACATATTAAATGTATGCCACCAGATAAGTTTGGAGATAAATATGCGCTCATGAAACTGTCACCACAATCTATGGTATAAATATATTCATCACTCAGCTTTTTCCCCCTAGTTTTAAAATTTTTCATTTTTATCATTGTCATTGGTTGCATTTAAAAAAAAATAGATCTCCTCAAAAGAGCATCCTAGTTGACACTATTCTTCTACATTTAGATGAAAATATTATATCT